AGTTCTGGGACCTGGCAAGGCCCTGGGGCATCAGGATTCAGCCTGACAGGGTCCAAGGGGGAGGAAGGAGCAGGTGGTCGTCTTAGGCTTGGGCTCGTCAGATCCTAGCGCTGGCCAGGGCCTCTCCTCTGCCCTCCTATAGGGTGACGGCTCCCAGTTCCAAGGCACAGGAGCCAGGATCCTGCTGACCTCTAACATGACGATTCAGAGGAATGCAGGAAGAGCAGGAAGAGGCACAGAACCTGCTTTCTTTTCTCTCATTGATGAGAATGCAGCTCCTACCCTGGCTGACACCATCCATCCAGTTGGCCATTTGTATATATATATATATCTATATATATATATATATACACATATATACATATATATATATATATAATTTTTTTTTTAAAGAGAGAGACAAAGAGTTGGCACTGGAGAGATGAGGCTGCTCCCCACGTTTAGGGGTTGCATATGCTGCCCCCTGCGCCTGGAATATATATTTTTTTCCGCCTGACTCCTACCCATCCCCATCATAAAGTGTTCACCTCAGAAATTCATTCATTCTTTCAACTAATCTATTTTGAGCATCTTCTAGTATGTGCTGGGCTCTCTTCTGGCCACTAGGGACTTTGCAGTGAACAGAGAAGACGCCATGGAAACAGAACACCCTTCCCTGACATTCCAAGTTGAAGCAGAGAATGGCACCCCCTGGGCGCTTGGGGCTCTGTCTGGGCCCAGCACAGCCCTGGCATACAGTCGGCGCCTAGTGGATGAGGTGACCCAGTGAACTGGTGTGTTTCTCACGAGGCTGTAAAATCTAGGAGGGTGGGAACTTCACCTGTCAATGTCCCCACTGTATTCTCCCAGGGTCCTAAATAATGTGTGGCCCAGAGTAGGCGCCCAATGAATGCTTTTTGAAGAATAAGAAAAAAAAAGAAAAGAAAAAAAGACAATGATGGCCCAGCTGGTGTGACTCAGCGGTTGAGCATCAACTCAGGAACCAAGAAGTCACCGGTTCGATTCCCAGTCAGGGCACATGCCCAGTTGCAGGCTCGAGCCATAGGAAGGGGCATGCAGGAGGCAGCCATGATGTTCCTCTCTCATCGATGTTCCTATCTCTCTATCCCTCTCCCTTCTTCTCTCTCTAAAAATCAATAAAAACATTTTTTTAAAAAATCCTCACCCGAGGATGTTTTTTCATTTAGTTTTAGGGAGAGTGGAAGGGGAAAATAAAAACAGAGAAAAATATCAATGCGAGAGGAATACACGGATTGGTTTCCTCCTGCACCAGCCCTGACCAGGGGAGGAGCCTGCAACTAAGATAAGTGCCCTTGACCGGAATCAAACCCGGGACCCTTCCGTCCGCAGGCCGACGCTCTACCCACTGAGCCAAACTGGCTAGGGCTAAAAACATATTTTTTTAAAAAGACAATGATAGTTATAATTGCCATTCCATATTAAGCAACTAATGCGCCAAGCACTGGGCTAAAACTCCTTCTACACACTATCTCCTTGAATCTTCTAGCACTTTGCTGACTTCAACTAGGACGGGTTGGATTCTCAGCTTGAGTTCAAAGCCTATGAGCTTAACTGCCACAACCACTCTATCTCCCAAAAGGAGACTCAGAAGCAGAAAAGAGGTTACAGGACCCCTTGAGCAGCCTAGTCCTGTGAGCCTGGCCCCACCCACCCCTGCCAGGCCCTGCCCCCCACTTGCTACTTCACCAATGGCACCACCTCCAGTTCCAGGCCCGATCTTCCCTGGTCTCCACCCTCAAGCCCCAGCGCTCAGACTTGGAAGCCAACCCTGCTAAGGCCACCAGCTCCAAGACCCGCCCCTTGGAGGCTCCGCCCATTCTCAGGCTTTGATCTCGCAGCCCATTTCTCCGCGCGCCAGGTCCCTCCCCCTTCTAGTCTCCATCCGCAAAGGGCCGCCTGCCCTCAGGAACTACTGCTCTGAGAGGCCTCCACCCACAGGATCCCACTCCACGCATCCGCCCCGGCCAACACCTCTAGCTCCAGGCTCCTCTATTCTGCAGGCCCCGCCCCAGCACCAGAGGCCCCGCCCGTGGGGCGTGGCCTTTACCCCAAGGGGCTCTGGCCTAGCACATCTGGCTGACCCGGGGCCGAACCCAGCCTTTCCTCCACTTGACCCCCGGGCTCTAGGTCCCGCC